TCATTTTTCCTATTGATGGCTGCCTCTAAAATCATTTGTTTGTTTCAGGCTACCGCTGCTTGTTGAATTGTGGCATAAGGATAAAATAGCCAAAGACTTGCTTCTAGGGGTTGCAAGACTTCAGCTTTCAAATGTTTTGGCTCCAGAAAAAACTCGATTCTTGGGTGCTAATGGTGAACAATGCTGGCGCCAGACCTACAATGAAACAATCAGTGTCACAGCAGCGCAAGGGTAAAACTTTTTATAAAATTACCTACTTCATTTATCTTTGAAGATTTGTTTAATATCTTCCCGAAAAAAAAAAGTTCTTGTTTATTTTTTTTCTCTTCAATTTGAAAAATGTTGTTTTTAACTTGAAAAAAAAATAAGGCATTCTTCAAAAGCATGTGTTCCATTTCACACAATTGAGGAGGGCATTTGTCATATAGTTTTTTTATGTTTTGACAGTTATTTGCCAGACTCCTAACTTGCTTGATACAGTTTGAAAATAAGGAAGAATTGAATGTCAACAAAATTGCAGCTAGGATTCTGTTGGTGTCTTTGCTTTTTTTTAAAAAAAAAAGTTGGTTTTCAAAAACCTTGAAAGTTACAGCACAGATATTTCTGTCAATACATAAATACTTATTTTGGACGTTTATATATAATATTCTATTGTTGAAGTTTTAGAGAATGAGAAAACAAAAATGAATAGAAAAAGTAAAACAGAATAGTGATTATGCCTTTCTACTGCCCTGTCGTATTAACTGAAATATTATAATCTCTTGAAGTAGTTTGGTCTTGTTTGAAGGAAGTCCTGTTTACTTTTCACCTTAGACTTGCTTTCATTTTCCCTAATAACTTGTAAGTATTTTGAAAATCATCTTTAAACTCACATGCGTTTTAATGAAAGGAAACATGTATCTTGCAAGGGATAGAGGGAGAACTTACAGAAACCGGAAGAGTGACGCAATACGTTTCCTCCCCCCCACCAAAGATGATAGAAGCAAAATTTAGACTTTTTGCTAGAATTTTTATGACGTGGAAGATAACATTCTGATCCTGTGAAGAGGCGTGCTTTGACTTCGCTATATGTTAAACTTCAATGCTTGTCTCAAGAGAAAGAGTTGTGGCTAAAATGAAAACTGTTTTAGCACAAAATTTGATATCCACTAGATGGCATTCTCAAACATATAATTAGTTTTATGCATTTTGCTGTGCTGATACATTTGTAACCTTGCTCTTTTGGGACTAACATTCCTTATATGCTAATATGTAAAACTCACTTTCAGCAACTCTTATTTTTGAGTTCTCTTACCTTGAATTTTATTTTTCTATTAGTGTAAGATAGTATTAACATGGATCTTTTAAAAAATGTATAATTTATATATGGTACCCAGTTAGTCATTTTTATCTCTGAAATAAATGTAGAATGCAGCTCTCTGAAAATATTTTAGTGCCTTAGTTGATACAATAAAAATGATAAAAGTTCCTTTTAGAATTTTTCTGTTCCAGAAAATATATCAAATCTGAGTCAGAGTAATTTCTGCATCCTTTTGTTGCAAGTTACTTGATATCTAAAACTACAGCTTCCAGCTTTAAATGACTGAATAATTGTACTTACATCAGTGTGTGGCTATAACTGAAACCATAGAGTTGTTTCTGACCTGTTGCAGATCTGTCCTATAGTGAACTTTCACATTAGAGTAGTCATATGTGGTAATTCAGCTGCGGAATTTCTGTGTATAGTGTTTCTCTCAACATCTTAGACATATGCTTAGACTCTCAGACAACTATTTTAAGAGTCATTAAGAACTAAGGACACGGAAACCTTTCATCTTTTCTGTTTTACATGTCATCTTACAATTAATGTTATGTGTTTTTTAAGATAGCTTTCATTAAAATAACGTTCTGATGTAATTTACAGGTCAAGTAACAGAATAGCGGAGCTTTCTTATGCCATCACTTTGGAAGACTATGGGCTTGTGAAAGTGCACGAAGTTCTGGTGTCAGATTCTTCTCAAGTAATCTTTCGCTTTATTTATTTTTAACTCTAACTTTTAATTGAGTAGTTCATTGAAAATCTTGCTAATCAAATACAAAAACCCTTGTTGTTGTGATCAGTGTATAGGTGCTGGTCAACAGCAGCATGTCCCTCAGCCTCAAGCTCCAGAAATCCAGCCAGAACCTCGAGAAACTTTGGAATACAAAGCAGCACTGGAGTTAGAAATGTGGAAGGAAATGCAAGAAGATATTTTTGAAAATCAGGTTTTTAGTCCTTTTTTTTTTTTTTTTTTTCTCTTCCTATTACCTACATTTCAAGACCTCTTGATAGAAAACTTGAGCAATATTTTTCTTGAATTGTGCCACTCTTTCAAAAAAAGAAATACATTTGCAATGTACAGAATATATAAAGTTAAAAGATATGCACCAATGTTTTCCATAGTCTTAAGGAAGAATGTCAACTCTTTACTCTTTGGCCAGTAACTTAAATACGTGCTAGGAATCAAATTTCCCTTCCTAACTTAGGAATGCAAAGAAACTCAAGATGCAGATTATTACTGTTAGGTATTAATGTTGCATTTCTTTATTGTCAGTCAAAATCTATTGTTGTCTTTCCACTCTTGAAGTAATTCTGCTTATACTATGAATGTTGCTTTTAGAGTGAAAATGATCATTCTTACAAAGGATCGCTCTTTTTTTTTTCAGAAGGACCTTGAGACTGCAGTTTCTATTAAGTTAGGATATTTTTCTCAAATTTAGGCTGACAGTGCAGCTTGGTTATATGAAAAGTAGGCTATGTTATGTTACTAGGCATAATTAAATGGAGGATGCTTCAGTATCAGAACGAAACCTTGAGTACAGTATTTACAGCATGTTAAATTTGAGTTTCTTTTTTTATTTTGCTACTCAAGAGAGGCTCTCAGTATTTTCTATAGTTGCAATTTTCTCCGTCAGGTCTGCATGTGCTAAAATATACAAGTCTAGGAGAATTTGGGCTGTGGAGTTCTGAGAGTGTCTAATTTCTTGATAAATAATTTTATACTTTTAAAAAATTTTAATGGTTAGGTGTCCTTTCTATTTTTGTTGTTGTGGTGTTTTGTTTTTTTTAAAAAAGCTTAAAAAGAAGGAAATGGCCCATATGCAAGCACTTGCAGAAGAATGGAAGAAAAGAGATAAAGAAAGAGAAGCATTAGTGAAGAAAAAGGTAAGAAACTAATTCTCAGACTCTCTAAGTCTCATGATAAGTCCCAGGGTACTGTGAAGTCAGACAGGTTATTTAGTGACTAAAACACGAAACGAAACGAAGGATTTGCCGTAACAGTCTTAACAGTAATGTGTATCAGTATCACATTTCTAGCCACAAAGAGCCCTTATTGATAAAAACTATTTGATTTAGTTCTTTTCAAAGTAAAGACTTACGATACGTGTTGTTTTATGTTCAATGTCTGACTTATATAATAATACCTGGGTAGAATACTTGTTCTAAATCCTTTATTTTAGCTTTTTCTCTGAACCTAATATTTACCATAGTTTATATCATAGTAAATTTGAAGAAGCAGATTTAAAATTTAGATTCTTGACCTCCCTAAGGATTATTTTTATTGCAGAAAAAAGACTAAAAAAAGGCTTTTTTTTTTTTTTTTAAGGTAGCAGAATATAATGTCTTGGAGGAACAACTTCAGAAAACCTTGAGAGATCTAGATAAGCGAGAGCGACAACTGTTTAATGCAGAATCAGAGGTAAACACTTTTTTCTTTTAAATACTTACATGAGGTATTTCTATATAACTTTGCTGAGTTCTCACATGGAGATGGCACGCAGACAATTAGTAACCAGTACATAAAAGCTGAAATAGCTACATTCACATTGCTCTAAAAGAGTGCTCATTTTTATATCGAAGTGTGTTACAGCTGTGCATATTTACTAAAAAATAAAACCTCAGCAAACTCCTAGATTCTTCAGTAGTGAAAGGACCAAAGAGGATGACAGAGCAGAAACGAATCCCTTTACTAGATTCCAATGCCCACCCACATCTAGAGATCAAGACAAAGAAATGGGATGGGAGCCCAGGGGAATGCTAGTCATAGAAAAAGAGAAAAGAAACTTCCAGTTTTCTTACTACAGAACATTTGCGGTTTTATAGGTGGGTTGCTGTGGTGATTTGTCATTCCAGTAAACTCTTTTTTCTGCCTGCAGATCAGATAATAATCTTTTTTAATCATATTCATTCCTTCTGAGCTTGAAAATCAAGTAAAGAATACTCCCAACACAGCATTGGCTTGTCCTGTCTGTATCCTGTTTTGGACTCAGGCTTTGTTTCTACCCTCTAAGCTACAGTTTGTGCTGTAAATGACATCTGACTTTAGCTTTTATACAAAAAAAAACTAGTAATTACATTTGACTAATGCATTTCTGTCTAGATAAAAATATTTATTTAGAATCTTATACATGTTTGTCTCAAACTTCTTTAGATTTAGTCAGATTGTCTTGTAGTCTTAAAGATAATGAATATCTGTGGATTCCAAAAGTGTCAGGACAAAATGATTTAGAGCTCATTTAGCAACCACATGGTTGGGGAAATGGACCATTTGAGGAGATTTTTACTCAACTAGCAGTTCATCCTGGTCACTAACATCTTTCTAGAAGGTGCAGATATGTCAAGATCTGTTTCCTAGTTTAGCTCAATGAGAAATTCTCAGTGCGCTCATTCTGAAGCGTGGTGTCTTACTGAACTAAATATGTTGTTGTCTTGGCTGTAGCTGTGACTTTACTGTTGTCCCTACACCGAAGGGGAAGATACAACTTTTTAAACTAATAGCCACTTATATAATTTTATATCTGTAGATATAAATTCTCTCATTAGGAATCTCATTTAGAAAGTTTAGTGAGAGATTCAAATTTTCTAATAGTTAAGCAAGTATTTGTGGCCAAAACATAGTCACTGGCAGGTTATTATTTAGAGTGAAAGGCAATGTATAAGAGGTATATCTATCAAATGGAACTTCTGACGTTTCATTTCTGATACACTTATGACAGGAAAAATTTGTTAACTGTATAGAAGAAAGATCTCTTACCTATGAATTAATCCAACCTAATTATGTCTCATTTTTAAGCTTGAAAGAATTAAGAAGGAGTTACAAGCAGAGTATGAACGAAATATGCAGGAGTTACAGGATTCTGTCCGGCGAGCTAAAGAAGAGTGTGTGCATCAGGTTGAGCTAGAAAGGTCAAAAATCAAACAGCTGGAAGAAGACAAGCTTCGACTACAGCAGCAAGTAAGTGCATTTAGGTGTTTTCCTCCTCCCCTCCCCCCCCCTTGTATATTCTCTGTCTCTCTAAATAACCATTTGTTTCTTTTTCTTTTAAATAAGCATTTTAAATTGAGCAATGATTGGAGGCAACTACATGCTGGCAATGTTGTAGTGGACATTTGCCAGAAATGTAATGAGTCTCATGCTGGGATCCTACAATACTGCAAGTATTATTGCATATAGAAGCTGTGCCTTAAACTCTAAAATGTCTAGGTAGCCTGACTGCAGTTCATTCCATAATTCCATTGAAAAATATTTTTTTGTGTGTGTGTATATATGTCTTTGTGTGGATATTTTTTATATATATGTATATAAATATATGTGTATAAATATATATTTGTGTGATATTTCTTTGTGGGACAGGGTTGAGTAGGGGCATTTTCTTGATATTAGTGAAGATCCTAGTGGTACTTCTAGTAAACCGAAAGAATGTAGACCATATATTCTTTGGTCCTCTAGAATATCCTTTGAACTAATGACAAGACAGCTATTTTGTTGAATGTTAAAATATACCTATATTTTAACATGGTTATGTGAAAATACTAAAATAAAAATCTAAATAGCCGAGAGAAAATGTTTGTATTGGAAAGAGCTTGTTTGTTTAAAATTAACCTACTACTTTTCATATCATTATGTGCTTGCCACCATACAATGAAGATTTTTAATATAGTTACAAAACAGAAAGAAAACACTGCCATTCTAGAAGATGCTGACCTTAGTTTTTTCACTGAACAATTATTAAATTTATATAGGTAACTTAAATGTCAGGAGAAAAGCCACTTCAAAATGATAAACGAGTCACCTCTGTATCATAGATATGTTGGCAGCTACCAATTCTTTATCAGTGAAGTTCCTCAGACTCAAAAACCAGATGCCACCTGTGTTGGACTTACCATCTATGTTCGTTCTTTGCATCCCACTGCCATCATAAACACTCTTTTCTTTGCGTTAAAAATAAATGTCCTGTAGCAGACAAAAGATTCAGTTAGCCCAGCACTGTGTTGCAGCAACAGCTAGATTTTGAGAAGAAGTGGAAAAAGTAGAAAATTTCATTTTGAGATATCCACCAGTATCATGTGTTGATGCTACTACAGATATATCCTAAACCAAAAGCTGCATCTAGTATTCTTTGCCATCAGTGAAAGTATCCTTCATGAATTATTTGATCCCTTGAAAAACAATTTCTATTTCTAGCATTGCAGCATCCTGTGGAAATGAGTTATACCATTTAACTATGTGTTGTATACTAAAGAAGTTCCCTTTTGCTCATTTTAAGATTGTTGCCTAATAATGTTTTTGCGTTAGGTTCTTCTCATTCTAATATTATACTGCTAGGAAGTATGAATCATCCTTGGTGCCTGTGCCTGATTGCATGGGGATCCATCCTATTGTCTCCTTTCCAAACAAGAGGAGACTTTTGTCTTTCTTTGAATGAAGGACATTCACACCACAAACTCCTCCTAGTTGCCATTCTGTATGCCTTTGCTGCCAGTTTGTTTGTCTCCTACAGCAATATGCTGCTGTTCCCACTTTCCACATAAAAAGACAAGCCAAGCAAGGGAGGGAGAGTGGGGAGCAATTTCTTACTGTAGGATGGGTTCCCTTGTCATGTGCGAAAGTGCAAAGTTGTTATTGCTGTCAGTTCTGGCAGGCTACTTCATGTGCTTGAAAATAATTCCATCTGTAAGAACTTACCTTTTGGTAACCTCTTGGTCTTCTGCTTTGTTTTTGTTATCTTTTATCCAAGCAGTGTGCTGAAGAGCATGATCTATTAAAGAAAAGTACCAATATATACTGTATTGAAGAACTGTAGAATTCTTAGCTAACATTTTTGAAAGTTAGCAGTACCATATGCAGAAGAAGAAACTTGAAGCATCCTGCCTAGAGAATACTACTTAAATTTTCAGATTAAGGAAATTCTGCTTTGATTGTAGAATTTGTGCGTTTCACTAACAGCCCACAGCCTGTGGTCTTGACAGATTTATGGGTTTTGAAGGGGTTTTCAGGACCAAGAAATAAATAAAACTTTTATTGCAAAAGTTCTGAGCATTGCTGTTATTTTTCATAGTTAGAGAAATTAGTTGCCCTGTTTGCCATTAACATCTTGAGCATATACCTGTGTTTTAAAAAGAAACAAGTAAGAGTGGAAATATAGAAAGCAATAGTGCCTGTCAGTAGTGTTGGCTATCAAGATCACACATGAAACTTGCAACTTCCTGTTTTTATAAGATTTGGTTTTGGGGCATATTTGCTTTCTTACATCAATTCTATAAAAATAATAGATGCAGCATTTTAAATGTTGGAAGAAAAATTGAGATTACTCAATCATATGATGCAAAGAATTAAAATAGTGATGTACTAATAGAAATAGTTCTAGCTTTTAAGCAGAAGGGAATTTTCTGAAATTTTGTACTCAGTATTCTAAACTGTTGGATAAAATTTGTGGAAAAATTTGCACTAACTAGTTGCAGAAAAAAATAATTGCGTGTTGGTTTTATGATCTCTTCTGTTTCATCAGCTATATTAAGAGTTTTATGATTGAATAATATTTAAGAGGAAAAACATAAGGTACGCTTTTTAGAACTTTTAGAATGAGGTGTTTTCTTAGTAATATTAATATGGTATATTGGAAGTGTGAGCTATTTAAACATTTGACTTTCTAGCAAAGTAATATAATAACATATTGGCAAGATACCATCTTTCAAATTTCTTACTTTTAAGATTGAAAAGTCATGTCCTGTCTTTTTTGGTATCATCACATGTGGAAGTATACTGTGAGAGCAGGGTTGCGTAACCTTAAATTATTAGTCACCAAAGTCTTTTCTGCTCCAGCCTTTCTTTTAAATAATTATTTGGCTATACAAAGTATTGGTTGTTTCCTCTTCCAGACATTTCTACACAAGTTACATTGGTAGAAATGAGTCTCTAATAAAAGTTTCATTTAGTAGGTGACAGTTGGATTTCTTAAAAGCTGCTATATATGTAAATCTAAATAGTTTTGTTTTTTGTATATCTTTCACAAGTCTTCTTTTAGAAAGACAAACAGTGGTGTTTATAAACTTGATTCTCTCATATATGGAAGGAGACTTGTTTTTGTTTACAGAAATAAAGCAAAGACCCTCTTTAAAATTCTTCCTATTAAAGCATTGCTGTGTGCTGTCCTCAAGAAATCATTAATTGTGAATGTGTAGTTTTCAGAGTCTGTTTTATATCAGATAATTGGCAATAAGATGTTTGGTCCAAGGACTAAGGACTAACAAATTCTGTAATAGAGTTTTTTGCGTATGGGATTTTTCCGTTAATTTATGTTATATCTGGATATTTTTAATGCAGTTTTATGAAGCAGAAAATAAGTATAAAATTTTGGAGAAGGAGTTCCAACAGTACAAAGAACAACAAAGTTCCAAACCAGAAATCCGTCTACAGTCAGAAATAAATCTTCTCACCTTAGAAAAGGTACCTTGAATTTTTTAATCTCTAAAAACCATCACAATGTTCCATTCATTGGTAAAGGAGATATAAGAATAATCTTTCATGATAAACCTGGTTGGTTTTTCCATTTCGTTGGTCTTTTTTAATTTTCCCAACAACTCCTTTAGTCTGTAAGTACTCAGAGACAAACAAGACCAACAGTTGTCTTATGCACATGGAGGAAACTGTTGGACTTTGAAGTTGAGAGAAAGAAAAACTAACCTATTTATTTAAAAGACCACCTCTATTATTTATACTGGGAATAAGCAATCTGTTTATAAAATTAGGTAAAAAAGAAGAATTTCTTGTGAAAGTTAATTTGCATTGATTAAACCATTATGTGTTTGGGGATTGTTTTAAGTGTTTCTGAAAATAGATTGTGTTCCATGTCAATGGAACAGATTCCCCATTTTAGGTTGTATTTTTTGAAATCTCAGATACTTTCAGTAGAAGATATTCTACTTAATTAAGCCTACAGAATTGGGTATTTTGAGAGTTTTGAGTTAAATTGTAACAGTATATTTTAAAAGAATTAGGCCAGGTATGTTGGCATGACACAATCAAATTACACATCTGGTCTGCATATTACTATAGACTTGAGTGATTTCTAGTGATAGTACAAGCAGGTAGTACATAAGGGTTTTTTGTTTTGTTTTGTTTTTCTTCTCTACATGTTTTTCAAAATGCTTATCTTTAGATATATTTTTGTTGGATTTTTTTTTCTTTTAACTTCTGTTTCAAGATCTTCCAAAATGGGATGGTAAACAGATTTCACCTACTTAAAAGCAATTGTACTGTTTAAGACCTGTTGATAGGAATGTTTCCAGTTACTGAGCTCTGTGTAGTTAATATTAAAAGGCATCCAACTAAAACAGAATTTTTCTTTTGCACAAAACACAAATACTTCTGTCCAGAAGAGAACAACATTTTTTTAAAAACTTATTATTTAGATAGTAAGAACAGATTTATGCCGTATATACCTATAAAAATGGGTTGAACAGAGAAGTGCCACACACTTTTCTATGAAATAGATAACTTCCATTAGTGCTAGGGCAAAAAAAATCCACACACCTTAAACAGCAAGACTTATCCATCAGTTCCTGTTGAGTTAGATTTTATAGGCTTACTATTAAGGAAAAAAACAGGGGGAGGAGGGCAGGAAGTTTCACTAATTTGAGATTCTTGAATTTAAAAGGTCACATCACCAGATTTAGTGCAAAAACCTAATCTTTTCTTTTTTGTATAGACTGCTATCCAGTAAAAATAAGGCTATATTTTAAACAAGAAAATGTTCATGTGCCATAATATTTATGTTACATTACATAACAGCTTTAGATGATGTTGTATATTATACTACATAAACACTTTTCTTAAACCAGACCCATTGTATATATACATCTTTCAATGATTGTTACTGCTGTTATTGCTTCAGCTGATATGATTTTAATTGCTTTTAGGTTGAACTTGAAAGAAAGTTGGAGTCAGCTACCAAGTCAAAGCTGCACTACAAACAGCAATGGGCGAGGGCTTTGAAAGAACTTGCGAGGTTAAAACAGGTATGCTGGCCTTTTTCTTTTGTCATGAGAGACAGCCAAATTAACGCAGTGTAGGAAGCTGTTTATGATTTCTATTTGCTGTTTGGGATTTTCATCCTAATATTGTAGGGTTTTTGGTTTGGATTTGCCCAACTGCACTTAAAGAAGTGATCAGACCTTACTAAATAATTCATTTCACAAGTCTCTGATAGTAGAACAGCATGCTCTAACTACAGTGTTTTAATAAAACTCACATGTATATGAGGCTTTATATATGTTCTTCAAACTTGAAGTAGTAGCAGCAGCTTTCTTCTCCCTGAATGCGTATGTCTTTGGTTTTTGTCATCATCTACCTTTCATGAATTACAGTAAACACTAGTTAAACAGTATATTTAAGACCAGCCTATACTTCCATTGGCCATGCCAAGCAAATTAGTAAACCATTAATCCCCATTGCTGAATAAACTTTAACATAGACTTAAAACTTCAGAATTCAAGTTCAGTAAAAAGTTTTTATTCCTTATGTTCACACCTACTTTCTGGTTGATGGAAAACCTTATTTCTTAAGGACTGTAGGTCCTACTTCATTATTATCTATGAAATTAGAAACTCAGCTTTATTTCCAGTCTTCAAATTGGTCTTTTTTTTTCTTTTTTTTTCTCAGTAATTAAAGGAGTCATAAATTGTCCTCTCTAATTTCTGAAATACCTATGCTTAAGAAAGTTGTTAGAAAGAAAAACAGCCTCTTAATCAGAAAGATAAGATTTACTTAAGCAGCCATGAAAAGTCAAAACTATGTTTTTTCTCAATGCCATATTTTAAAAAGCAGTGTAGAATAAAGGAAAAGCCTGTTGCTTGCCAGATTAATGCTGAGTACGTATCGCAATTGGGGTTCTTACTGTAAGTTTCGCCACAACGGATGTGGCATCTGAACTTGGTAACAAAGGGAGATGGTTTCAGCTTACTCAGTGAATTATGTTACCTGCACCCTTTAAAGGAATTGTTCTATAATGTAAAGGTGGGCTCTTGTATTTTTATGCTCCTGTGCTGCATCGTATTCTATTAATAAGGGATTTAAACAACATTAAAGAGCTGATCAGAAGACCATTTACTGTGTTTTGAGTAGAAATTTGGAAACCATTACTTCAGGAGTTCTAGATCTGCTCTAGTTCAGATGATTTGTGCAATTGCACATAGTTTGACCAATTTCTTGTTTAAATTGGATTAGTACCATGTTAATTTTGCATAGCCTCTGGTGAATAGCCACAGGGTTGTAATCTGTGCCAGTAATTTGTCACACCAAAGCTCTCTAGAGAACTATACAAAACATTTGTGTAGTGAGGATTAGACGCTGAAAGCCATATCTTAGATTGTTAATAAATGTTAATGACAAAACCCAGCTGGTAAGTCTTGGAAATGAGATCTAATGCTTTGTGCCCATTGCCAAAAAAGTGTTTAAAGAGAGATTTCCATTACTCAAAGGTGACCTAGTGCAGTCAATTTGTGAATTAAAGAAGCATAATCTACAGGCTAAGCATTTAGTAAAATGCTCTTCTGACTTGCAACCATAAAAGTCAATGTTTCCTTAATTAAAAAGTTTCCTCTTATTTTGGAATGAGTTGTTCCCACACATCTGTGGTGCTTTTATATTTTGTAGAATGAGATGTGCACTATGTAACTTAGAAAACTATTGGACTGTTAGTAGAAAAAGCTCCAAACATCTCCAAATCTAGCATTGTGATTATTAAATCCAGTGCCAGCTGTAACCAGAAAAAAGGCCAGAAGCACCTGAGAACACTTGTACATCATGTTCATACCATAGGTACCAAAATACAGAAGCTACACTGTAAATCTATTTTGTTGAGCTGACTGTAAAGCTGTAGGCTCTACCAATCCATTTGGTATTCTCCTTCATTATTCTCTGCAACCTCAGATTGATCATTTATTTACCAAACACCTATTCAACTTTAGGAAGACAATTTCAACAAGTTATCCATATATTTATGTGCACCCAGGTAGCTTTTATTATTTATAGGAGTATGAAGGACTTCGTCATTCAATGTTTGCTGACTAGGACACTGAGATGCTACACAGATGACTATGTAGCTTTATACATGTGAAAATAATTACCGAGAGCAATTAAACCACCTATGCAAAATTGCACACAGAATTACCGAGTTTTGGTTACCAGAAACAGCACTTTAAAACAAGCAACAAAGATAAGAGAAATATAACTTTCAGTAGCTAATATCTCTGTTATAATCTAGAAAACCAAAATAATCTGAAAATAACATACATGTGTTATTCAGCATTTCAGGGGAAAGTGTTTGTGTGTGTTTAAGTCTTTTACCATCTTCGTACCCTACAGGTATGTTCAAAGCAGCACTGATGGGTTTGTTTAAAACCACACAGACCTTATTGGTTGGCTGACATTCACTCTATCTTAGTCCAGCCTCCAGTTTATCCGCTCAGTAATTAATTTGATAAATTTATAAGTAATTTAGCCAAAGATTGGATGTAAATCTTTGTTTGAAAAGAAAAGGAAAACAAAACAAAAACAAACAGTTGGAGGTCCAAGTCTTGGTTAAAAACTGTGTCTTGAAACCATCCAGGCCCTCCTACTGACTTGTCAGCTCTGGGTTATTTTCAGAAAACTTTACTTGAGTTCCTTAGCTTCAGTCATAAGTTTTTCCCACAGACTTGCATGGTATGTGTGAGTGGGAGAGTGAATAGTGGCTGCTATTTAGTCATTGTTTAGTCTAGTGTATGTATGTTTACATCTCCCTTTTGGATTTATAGGCAGCTATGGCAAAATAAAGATTGTGCTTCCTTGATTGAAGAGCCTCTTAACTAGAGCACCTGGTGGCATAGAAGGATTCTTTTATGATCCAATTATAATTACTCCTTAAAAATTTTAAAGGGATTAATTTCTGTTTAATCCCAGTATTTATGTGGTCCCATAGTTTTCAAAAATATTTCCACTGTGCAGACATATAAAATTATATTCATATCCTCAAACACATCACCAGGATGCAAACTAACAAGGAAAAATAACACAATATCAAAGCAAATAATGTGATACATAATATGTTCCACTTGTGGGTTTTTTTTCTTTGTTTTGTTTGTTTGTTTTGTTTTGTTTTTTGAGGTATTATCTGGGTTGGTTTGACTTTTGATAATAGGGGTTGTTTTGATAAACAGGGTTGTTAGAAAAGCTGGATGGACTATCAAATTAATAAGGAAAAAAAAACTCTATTGATCTCTTGTCAACATACCTGTTTTTAGTCTGGTGGCTTCTGATTCTGGAGTGATCCCTTACCAGAAATTTAAAAATGTTAAACTTTAGAAATTTTAAATTTTTGGAAATTCTAATGGCTCTTATTTAGGATTATAAACAGCCTGACCAGCTACATCAAGCAATTGGGAATAAATATAAAATGTTTGTTATATCATGAGCATATTCTCTATGGAAATAATGTGGAGTATGCCATACAGAAAGCCTTAACTATGAGAATTTTAAAAGCGTGTGTGTGTATGTATGAACTCATGTGTGCACTAAAGTACATGTGGAAATGCTTTGATATATGCAAATATATCTTGTGTTTTAAACTAAGCCTATGAAGAATGAAATGAAGGTGTTTTTAGTGCATCTAAAAGTGCTGGACTTTTTTATTAATACTATCAGTTTATGCAATTTGTTTACTGATATTATTCTCTTTCACTTTGGAAATCAAAGCGAAAGGATCTCAGTCATGAGTGGATGCAAATGAATGATTCTCTAAAATCTGATATTTCTAAACATTTCTATGCAATAAAGTTCAGTACCTTCTCTGTTCTTTTTAAAAAAACACTTTTTTTTTTTAATACCTGAATGTTTCTGCTAAAGTGACATTGCTTTCATCACCCTGATGAGTAAGAAATCCTTCCTTCTCTCCTGCTCTGACAAGACTTTTTTTTTATGATGCCTGAAGAAGTCATAACAAAATTGTATATAAAGTTAAAATCAGTTCACCTTTCTTCTTACTAATCAAGTTTTGTAAATTCTTTGCCATCTCTTGTATTGGTGGATTATTGGGATATGAATTTCTATTGCTCTGCTATGAATGTTATGCATACAGCAAGTTTGTTATTCTTCACCCTATAAACTGTTATGACAGACTTTTAAAGAAGTCAAAGACTAATGCTGGGAAATGGATTTTAAAGTCACATAATACTAAGTATATAATTTAAATTACACCCTGGAACCATCATAAATGAACCCTTCCCACTCGTTTTCATGTCTCTGAATTAGACTGGTATTAAACTGATACAAAGGGAAGCTTATTTCAGAAAATACAGATTTTTCAATGTATTTAATATTTCATTATTAAATGCCATATTATTCAGGCTCATTGTATGGCACCTTTTAAGATGCTATGAAAATTCTCCTTTTTCATTGCTACAAGGCTAGAATAAATCTCTCTTGTTCCCAAATAATGCCAAATATGTGTATCTCATGACAATATATTAGTTAAAGATTGCTTATGCACTTAGACTGCATTAAGTTTCTAAGCTGATCACATTTATGTGAAAGGAAGTCCTATCCAGTGTTACCTTTAGAGACAAAATATACTGATACTAGTTTTTGTTCTTCATGGAGAAAAGGAGCATTTAGAAAATAGAGACTACTACTGTGAGTTTCTCTGACCTTATAATACAAGATGGCTGACTTGCCAGTGTTAAAAACTGCTTCAACAATTATGCCTGATCTATAGCATTTTTCTGATTTAAAATGTTCATCTTAATTCTAAAAGTTCCATGATTGAAGAAGCTCCTAACATGCTTGTTATATTGTTCTAAGAATTAATTTTCAAAATCCTAATAAATGGCACTTTCTTTCCAGTTGGAAATTACCTAGGTTTGACTTTGAGCCATTGCTTCCCTTTGCAAAAACAGAAGAACTGACAAGTAATGGGATATGTCTGTCTATCCCAGACTCTTGTCTCTGGCAGTGGCCATCAGGAGATAGGTAACACCCAGGAACAGGGCTTCAATATCTTGACATCCCCTCCAGCTGCTAGCAGTCAGTTACATGTATCACAAGACAGAAGGTGCTTTCATACTGTTGTGTTTAACAGCCATCGGTGGATGTACTCTTCCTGCTTCTGCCTGGGTCCTTTTCAAGCTCATTCGTATTTCTTCTCCTCCCCTTTTAGCAACTCTGACTAATTTTGGATCAGCAGCAAACTTGGTTTCTTCCAGAAGAAACCACAGCCTCACTTATGAACATATCAAGGAATACAGATATATTACAGATATATACAGCTCTCCTTTGCTGTTGTGAAAATTATCAACATTTATCTTTTCTCCAAGCTTTTAACCCCATGATAATTTGATAGACGACTTTATGAAGGTTTATTTTTCAGATTGGGCCTTTTGTTTGAAGACCATTTGGAGGTGCAGTTCTTGTTTGTTTGTTTGTTTTACAATAGCTGAGTTTATCCTTCTTGATCTGATACATCCATATAGTTTTATTAATTTTGTTTTAATTATGGTTTCACCTAGCTTATCCATTGTGGAAGCAAGTCTTATTGGTAGTTCCTGGAACTTCTTAAAATATACTTTAAAAATGAGAAAACAGTTTCTATTCCTATGGCATCAGCTCCAATTTTAGTGACAGATTATACCTCTAGTTAGTTGTAACTTAATCTTCGAATTTCCCTAGAGGTCTTGGAAAACTTTTGGATAAATACCATCTGGCTTTAGTGATTTGTTACTATTTGTTATATGTATTTGCAGATTCCCATTCTAAAAGCATGTTCTACTTTAATCATAGACTGTTCTTCAAACCCATCCCACATAAAAAGTGTCTCTCACGTGGGAATGTTCTCTTGTGATGGATGGGGGAGGAAAGACTATTGCCTTATCTTCCTCAAATGCTGTTTTACACTTTGATCATATATCAGCTGCAAAGACTCTTTGGCAGGATTCCTGCTTCTGGTTTTATTATTAGTATGTATCCCTTTAGCAAATTGTTTGTCAGTCTTTTTGGCCTGTCTCACTGCAGTTTTAACATTTAATTTGCCAGACTAGCATACTGGATTTATGCAGGAAAGTAAAGTATTTGTTGATTATTTATATTCACATTCAGTATTAGAATTTTTATTTATAACAATTCCTTGTGAGATTCAGATTTTTTCTAATCAACAGGCAGTGCTTGAAATGGTCTTTAAATATAGTCTGGGAATTGGGACTCAGAAACCTACCTGGCTAAAAGCCTTGAGTATGCTTTTCCAGATACTGTTGTGTTGGCTATATAATAAATATATGCATAGATATGGGAAAAAAAAGTTTTTTTAATCATTGAAATAAAGATAAAACTTATTTTATGAACAGTGTTTTAGTCTGTCTTTAGCTTTATTTTGTTCAAGTTAAAGCCAAACATGCATCTTACAGTTTATCTGAATTCATGATGTTCATGTAGCTTTCCGCCTTATTTTTTAACTTCAGGACTAGCTCTGAGTGTGAGACCAACTAGTCAGTGTACAAGGGCATATTGAAAATGACTGAGAG